GAGTTCTGCCTGTTGCTGGCAGGGGGGCAGCGGGCGTGGGGAGGCACTTTTCCTCTGCCCGGCAGCTCTGCAGGACCCCAGTCGGAGCCGGCCCGAGGAGAAGGAGGATCCTAGGACCCAGGTGAGCGAGCCCGGGAATGCTGCTGCGCATGTGCGGGAGTTGCCTCACCCCGTTCGTATCTAGGGATCCGACGTAAGTCGGATCCACGTAAGTCGGGGACTGCCTGTATATGGGACTAACCATGACTGTTGTAACCTCTTCTTCCCCCATTCCTCAGATCATTCCCTTCCTATTTATTACCCTCACTGCATCACCTCTAAAATGAGACAATTAGCTCGTTGGGCCAGGGACTATGTCTTTCTATACAATTCTTAGTATATTTTGGGACATTATAAAAAACAACATATACAGAAATATCTTCTCATTTTTTCTAGCACAAAAATGTATTTACAATCATAAAATTACCATTAGTTCTAAAATATGAAAATATTGTATGTTAAGTTCAGCATGCAACCTCTATCAAAATAATTACTTTTATCTTTTCCCCTTTCTGCTTCAAATGTTTAAACTATTCTCATGTCATGCTTTTGTTGTGAGGAATTCTTATCATGATAGGTGTCTCTGGAACCACCTTGAAGTATACCGTTCTGTCCAAAACTCGTATTATTAACTGGGTAAAAAATTAAAGGGATTTGCAAAATAATTCTCTATTTTCTGAATGTGTGTATTCATACAAGATAGTGAAATCTAATTAACAGCCCTAAGTAGCTTAATAAAATGGCAGCAGAGATGTCTCACATTCACAGTGGTCAGATGTAGTCTATGAGTTGTGACAATACTTCACAAAAAGCATCACAATTGAGAACGTTTGTCCAATTATTAGTGCATTGAAAAAAGAAACAACAGGTCAAAGGCGAAGTAGCTATTCAAATTCTTTACCATTCTTGTTTAGAGGTTTGATTTACTATCTGTATCCCTGCTAGCTGCAGGAATTCTATATCTGCCTTCACCTTTAATATGGTGCATCTATGGCTGGCGCTGCATTTTGAAATCAGTGGCCCAGCGGTTCTGGTTATGTATGTGCTGTGACCTGTAGCCTCTGCTGGCCACACTCACATGTAACAGATGGGGACAGCTCTAATCTGTGCTGCTTCTTATGAAATTAGGCGCGCCTTTTATGGCTTACTCTTCACTATGCTGGGGACTGATGCTGTAGTGATTGATCCATTAGTGGTCAATTTATTGTGTCTTCTTAGACGTGATAAATCGATATCTGAGCGCTCTCCTGTCAACACCAGTACTCCCACCAAGCTGAGAAAAGAAGCCAGCATTGATGGGAGAGCAAAACCCATGGACCTTACCACACACAAGATGCTGCGGTAAGCACGTCGACATCACCTACATTATTTGTGTTGCTGAAGTCATGGAGATAAGATCAGCAGCGGGAGTTAGGGTAGACAGTTTCTCCTAACTTGCCAAAAAATGCAGCAAAGTTTGATCAGGCCTGTTTATATGCAAGTACCATCAAAACCCTAGAAAATTTTCTCTCGGTGGAAACAGCTGAGTTGCAGTAACTCTGTGAGCATCTACAACACAAGGGAGGTGGACAAGGAGCAGAATGTTCTGCCCCTCCTCCAT